CTGAGTTTGCCGATATGAATTAAATGTAATAAACCCAAATGGGTCTTCAGGTACATCAAGTCCCCTACCAATGCACATGTTGACTGGTTCTGCCTGTGTAAGTCATTGTCAGCTTTTTAATGTCATTTTGAACTTTGAATCAAGCTGTGGTTCAATCGTGTAAGTTGGGTCCTTTTTAATCGCTGATACTAATTTGATGCAAAACAACTCTTGAGTACAAAGTGGGGCCTATATGGGCCCTAGATTGATTGTGTAATTTTGAAGTTGTTACCTTGTTTACACAGTATTTAACTGGTTTTCTGATATAAGTTATATTAAACCCAAAAGTGAGACCCATAAAAGAAACCCATGATCTGCCCAGGGCCATTTAGTGTTTATTAAACCAGAGCAAAATTAATTTGGGGCCCGCATATGTTTTAGATTAGTAAAAACTATGCAAGACAGTCATCTGATTAATGTGTGAGTCTTTTGGGACTTTGAAACAAGCAAAAAAAAAAAAAAAAAACTGACCATGACATTGTCACCACAGGTTGCATGTAGATGGCACCTAGGTACCTTGTGGGCCCAACTCTGAAGGGAATGAAACCTATACAGGCAGTTAAAATGTGGCTCTAATGCAACCTGTGGAGAACATCATATAATATGCAAGAATTTATTAAAGTCCAGAAAGACACAAATCAGTGATTCTTGAGAATAGGGACAAAATGGGTTTTAATTTTCCCATATATTTTTTTTAAATTATTTCTCAACCTTATGTATGCAAATATGACAAATAATGTTTAGGAAATGTAAAGATGCTAAGGTGCAGGCGCCCAGTTGCAACATTTTTTTAAAATTACGTTTTTAATCGACCCGACCCAGAACTTTGTCATCACCATCTGACAAAAATAAATAAAAAATATTTTTTAACGACCCTATTAGTGATATTTTTACTCATTTTACAGACAAATGCTTCTCAAGAAACAAAATAATTATTATTTAAAACAAAATCAACAAAAAGTCCATCTGACGGAGTTGACAGTGCATGACGGAGTTGACACAGAACTGACAAACTAGTGAATAAAATGAAAAACTTGATACATGTGAAGTAATTAAATTTATGTAAAATACATTAAAGTGAATTAATTGCACAATTAAGTGAGATTTGACAACAATTTCACTGTAAGAGTCACAAAAACTCTGACGGAGTTGACAAAAAGCCAAACTGCCTCAATTTATATGATGTTAT